CCCACCGCCAACCTCCCGTCGACGCATCGTGACCCCTGGATCGAAACGTTCGCCTCGGGCGTCTACTTTGGCTGGGCCTCGATCGCCCTGCCGCGGACCACCCCAACCGCCCCAGCCCAGGCCCAGGCGCAGACGCAAACGCAAACGCAAACGCGCCGCTGGCCCCCCTGCTGTACCCGATGGTCATGTCCATCGGCTACAACCCGTTCTACAAAAACACGGTGCGGTCGGCCGAGGTGCACGTGCTGCACCCGTTCGCCGCCGACTTTTACGACGCCCACATGCGCCTCCTCCTGCTCGGCTTCGTCCGCGAGGAGAAGGACTACAAGTCCCTCGAGGCCCTCGTCGAGGACATTCGCTTCGACTGCGACGTCGCGCGCGAGAGCCTGAGGCGGAGCGCCTGGTGTCCGCCGCGCGAGGACGTGCTGCGCAGCGGCGAGGGGGCCGAGGCGCGGCTGGGTGACGGCGAGGGCACGCTCGACGTGTCGTGGCTGCTGCGTGCTCTGGAGTGAGAGGGCGGTACTCGCTGGCCCCCTGTGTCGGGGGCTGGTGGAAAGCTAGAGCTAGAAGGGAGGGGGCGTTTGCCAGATGGGGGCCATGCGAGCATCAGCACCTACGTACGAGCGACGAAGAAAGATGATGTGCACCCGGTTTCATGGAAACATGTAGACTTCGTATAGACATGAGAAACGATAAACATGCCTGCCTACACACCATGTACGCCCTTGCGACCCAGTGTCCAAAATCGAAGCCATCCCCTTCCCTCTTCCCTCCCCATCACATACGCATCACACCGGAGCCCAAAAAGACAACATCTGAAAGAAAAAGAAACACTGCTTCTTCTCATCTGGAGAAGGATGAAACTGTAGAGAAAAAAAATCCCGGGCATGCGCCCAACTTGTCCCAAACGCCGCCCGTACCTGAATGCCCTGGTATGTCCCCGGCCTGATGACCCCCTTCATACTTTTTTTGTTTCGGGATTGAACCCCCCATCTAAACAGCAAGTTGGTGCGGTTCCTGGTTGCGCGAATAGCATGGCAAAAACTGCACGTCTAGTCAGTACGAGGACGCCGACAGTCTCGGAGCAGGGCCGAGTAACTCACATTCATAACGATAAGCATGGGAATATCAAAGACATCGCGTTTGATGGTCCAGCAATAGCGACAGTTGACCTTGCCGTCCTTCTCAATCTTGGAGATGCCGTGTTCACCGTCGATACGAATGACGCGGCTGCTGAGGATGCTCTTCCTTGGGTCTCGTTGTGGCGTGACCTCCATGGCAGCGGCAGCCTCGGCAGCCTCTTTGGTCCGGTATTTGAGTGCTTGGCATGTCTTGTAGACCTTGCCTCGGCTGTCGCCAAATGCAAGGTGGGAGAAGTCCTCGTAAAACTCAATGACACTGTCGTCGTCGAGAATCTCGGCAATGAAGACTGGCTGCTTGCGACTCCCTTCCGTCTCGACAGAGTCCAGCGTTGCGGCGGACAGCTTCGGCGTCGCCAAGCCAGCACGACCCGTGTTGGCGCCGCTTGCAGTGGTAGAAGCAGCACCGCCAGTATTGACGTTCAAGTTGGGTTCGTTGCCGAGAAGGACGTCCTTGGTCCATCCTGTCAAGGCGGTGAACTCCTTGTTCGCAGCCGCAATTTCGCCCGTCCGGCGACACACTATGGTAGGCGCCGAGCACTGGTGCATATAGTCTTCATATTCGAACAGCGTCCTTTGGAAACACTTCTCCATGAAGACGAGATCCTGTTGATTCAGGTTCCGCGTGCAGGAGATAAACGAAGGCCGGATGCTGGCCAGTGCCTTGGCAATCCTTAGCGTCTTGTTGGCAGAGAATCTCTTCTGAAGGAAAGCGATGAGAGCGTGGAACCCGGCCAGGTACTGATAGGGCTCCTTAACCGACTCGTATATCCACGATGGATCTCTCTGCCTCTTTCCCAGGATCGATTGGGGCCCGCCTTTCTGCGCCGCACTGGGCTTGCTCTTGTGACGGCCTCCGACACCTGTCAGGGATTGGTTACCGCCCAGGCCGCCGAAATTGCCGCTCGGTGAGCCCTCAAAATTGAAATTGGTCGGTTGTGGACTCGCCGTCGTCTCGGTGCTGGGACTATGCAGACTGTTTGGGCCGGCAGCGATAGCATATGCGTGGGGCAAGCCATGTTGGAGATTGCCCTGCTGATACAGGCCGCTTGAAGGGTGATCGAGGTTCAAGAATTCGCTCCCTATGCCATCATAGGACTGACCAAACTGGCCGTTGCCGTTGCCAAAGACACCAGCGGATCCAAAATTGATGTCGCCGCTGCTGGGTCCTGAAAGAGAAGGGTCGCGCGGTGGAGTCTCCCCAGCCCCAGAGGACATGTGGCCCAGCATGCCAAACTCCATGGCACCATACTGGCTGCCGAAGTTGAGGCCTTCCAAGTCAAAGTTGAAGATGGCGGGGTTGCTGGGGTCGAAGAGTGTATTAAAACTCAATGGATCCCCGGAGATCTGAGGCGAGATCATGCCTCCCATCGTATTAGGTCGCTGGTTATTGGTGGCTGGCTGAGGGAATGGAGGCGAGACTGGTGACGGCTGCGGGAAAGTGAGTCCCTCGGGAAGGCCCACGGGTGTCTGCGAACCAGAGTACACCGGGAACGTGGTCGAGGCGGTACTTTGGGAAAAGTAGGTGCTCCCGGCTGTGGAGGCCGTCTCCGAAGCATTGCTGTGCTGTCGTTGACCGTTTGGACGGGCCGGCGTTGGGTTCGGGTTGTAATTGGGGCCCAGAACAGGTCGCAAGGCTTCAGGAGGTGCATCGTGGAGATATTTCGCCTTTTTGCGTACGCCGTCCTGGCAGGCATCGGCCAGGCCACGCTTGATGCATCGTTGACATGGTCGTTCATCTCCTGTAGGGAACGTCAGTCAGAGCTGGTCCGTGGGCACATCTGCCCCGAGCGCAACCCCGCCATGCCGGCTGCCGCTGTCACCAAGGCGAGCAGGACGGATCACACAAGACCCGCGAGTCACACCGAAGAGGATCAGATTCTGGCAAAAGCTTACCGCACGTCAAATGAGCTCGCTGGCAAGCATAGCATGCTCTCCTGGCCTTCTTCCGCCGTGGGCGCAAGGGGTCTTTAGGGTCATACTTCTTCTTGACCTCGCCATTGTTGTCGGTAGAGTCGTTCGTCTCGGCCATCTTGTCGTCTTCGTCTTTCACAGCAAGATCGTCTTCGTACTCGTGCTCATTGTCCGACATGGCATCCGAGACCTCGGCCCCGTTCTCCTCGAGTTCGTCCGGCATAGTGACGAAGGTTTATATACAGCCTACACGCTGGTGGGAGCGACAGGTTGGTGGCGTGGCGCGCGGGAGGTGTACGAGATGACGGCACGGCTATGCGAGCCCTCGACCGGGATGGCCCTGTCCTGGGCGGCAGCGCCAGGCTCTTGGCTTGGTGTCTCGTCCAGGAGCTGTGGTGTAAGGGGAAAGAGTATGGTCAATCGTCCTGCAGGGCAGCGCTTTACGTGGTACACGACAGGGTATAGTTTCCTCGCAGCGACACACAGACAAAATAGCCCCGACCAGCGATATATCGTTTCCCCTCGTTGCGCTTGGGTGGGATGGGCCCTTGCGGCGCCCAAAGAGTCTTTGAGAGGTAATCGTGGACAAATAGGAGGTCGCGCGGGAGCTGTGTCACGCCGCCGCCGCAAATTGAGGCTCGAACGTAGGAGGGCGTAGAGGCGATGCTGCGTGTCGTTGTTTTGCTGCTAGAAGAGGGGGCGTGCTCCTAGTGTACGTCTGGCTTTCCAGTGTAGGTAGGTAGGTTGTGCCAGCGGAGGATCAGTCAGGCACGACGATAGGCAGGCCTCGTATCGTTCACAAGCAAGGCTTGCCAATGGAGCTGCGACGGAGGGTGGGAGGAGGCGTTCCTGGTGTAACGAAATCGTCGACGGCGCAAAGACTGGGTCGCTGAGATGGCAGTGACCAGTCAAGATCGTAGAGAGAGGAGAGAGAGGGGGACGGGGGAGGGGGAGCTCGAGCCGTGGCTTTCCCAAGGACGTCGCGGACCTCGAGGGAGGGGCGGATGAAGCACCGTCAGGGACAGAGGCCACGGCGTGGATGTCTAGGTGTCGCTCGCTGGCCGGCAAACTTGTGACAGAGGCTGGGGTTCGAGCTCGGGATCGTGGATAGCCGGCTGTGGGCGTCGATGAGGGTAGCGTCGATGGCAGCGGCAAAGAGGGGAGGAGGGATGCAGGTCGTCGGCAGCTACCCGTCGGGGTCTATTGCGAGTGGTAAACACGCATTGACATGCAACACAAGGTCGGCGACCAAAAGAAGGCCGAAGTTGGGTATCGAGTCGATTTCCTCGATGGGGGGATGAGGGCAATTGGCTTCGTAAGGGCGCAACAAGACGAGGTCACACGTGGAGGAGAGGAGGGCGCGAGGGTTGTCGAGGGCGTTGGGTGAGGCGTGGGTGTTGCGACAGGCCCATTGACGCGGGGCTGAGAGAGCGCAAATAGGTGTCGGGTTTGGCGTCTTCGGTGTTGATGTAGCGAGGAGATCGCTATGGCAAGGGAGCTCCGGGTCGATTGTCTGCGGCGACGTTGGGTCGGTCGTGAGTTTGTCAACCTCGGTCTGCGTTCAGTTGACACGAGTGAGCGCACACGTGTTTGAAGGTAGGTGTGTAGGTATGTACCTCAGACGCAGCGACAAGAGTGTTTTGGCGAGGCTCTGAGTGGTTGACTGAAGAGCTGTCGTGTGTGTTGTGACCCGACGGAGAAATAAGCTGCGACTGGAATACTAGGGGAGGCATCGGACCTGCCTACGTACAGTACCTACTAGGCTCCTAGTATTGGTTGGTCTGGTGTGGTGCTTGTCTCTCCAGCACTCGTGGCTGCGTTCCATTGCCCTTGGGATTGGGGCATGGTCAAAGATTTGCGCTGCGGGGTTCGTCAAAGGGTGGGTCGGTTGGGCATTGCTCTCGCATTGGAGAAGAATAGGTGGCGCATGATTGGCCGCGCACAGCTGATGGTTGCACCAACTGCTAGTCAGTCAGTATTGGTCTGGCTTGTTTGGTCGCTAGAAAGGCTCCGGCCCTGCGGGAGAACTTGGGGTTGGAGGAGGACCCCGTAACCGAGGTCACAAGACCAATGAGATGCTCGTCCATCCCAGGGCTGAGAGTCTCCGTCCGTTCTTTGCTTCAGGCACCATGTCGCTAACTAGGCTTCAGGGTTCAGGCGGACAGGCCATGAGGGGTGATCAAATAGGCCTCGTGATCAATGCAGAAGGAAGACTCGGATTCACGAGATTTGGGGTGCGAGGCTCGGCTCGAAACACACACTTCAACTGGCAGCTTCAATCCACGGACCGGCGGCCCAGGAACGGGTCTCAGACCAACATGTCTCCTGCCCTGTCTTGCTGATCCTGTCTTGCGTGACTGGCAGGTGATCGAGCCGGCAAGTACGAGAGACAGTACCGATTTCCTCATCACGCAATTATAATTAGGTACCTAGGTACCTAGACACAGGCAAGTGCCTACCTGCCTGCTACCATATCATGCCTTTATTACAGGAGGCAGGCAAGGATCCGTGGGGCAGCTGCGACTGTGGCTGTGATTCATACGGGAAGCAGCAACGGCATCATCATGTCCCCCTGCCTGTGCCTGGTCTTTGGCTCAATGGCCATTCTTATCAACGGCTGCGCGCCGTCATGTTGATTCAGACATGCATGATTCAGTCGGATTTGCTTGTTTGCTGTTCCAGCCTCAACCTGCGACGACGACGACGACGACAACGACTCGATTTCTTTACGGCTTTTACGAGCTCACTACATTGTTGTGCAGTCATCCGCTACTCGTCTGGGACCTCACTCGATGGCCACTTCATGCCAACTCCCCAAGAAACATCTCACTCCCCCCTTTGTACCATGCAAAACTCTGTGCAATAAACATACCATCACGCTGGCTTGGCACCCCTCAGCCACACTCATCACACCTCACCTCGCACCACGGATCATTGTCACCTGCATGAGATTTGCTAACATGGGCCTTAATTGTTTCAACCCGGGAACCGAGGCTTACAACAAACCACTGACCTGCTGCCAAGTGATCTTGCGCCTACCTAGGCTTGCCAGGCAACTCTGTTGGATACGATTGCTCACTCCATGCTGACATGTAACACAGAGTGCTAGCAGGACGGTTGTCATCTTCTCACTGGCCGGCTCACGCGTCGACGCGTCTTAATCGTTTCAGGCCCAGCCTCGCCTCGATGCCGGCATGGCGATTGGGCCATCGACAATAGAGACTTCTGTTGCGTCACCTCCCAGGCTTTGGAGTAGCCCATGCGGCAGGCATCCTTCGCCGGCCTTCCCAGCTCCCACGATCCCATCGCCACAACCATGTCGTGGGTTCGAATGCGACACCTCTTCTCTTCCTTTGCTCCGATCATCGTCGCATTGTCGTAGGCGTGGCTCAGGAACACGGGTCTGGGCAACACAAAGCTAGCCCTGAACCAAGGCCAGCCGCGAGCGCCTCGACACGGGTCGACACTAGTGCGTCGGCATCTGGCGTGCACACGCCTCGATCACCCGCAGGCCGAGTAGCTTGTGCTACGATGGTGCCTGATCCGACGAAGAGGCGCCTGTCGCCTCGTCGCCACTGGGCTTATGCACGCGGTCGGGCACCTAGGGTGGCTTTCCAAGGTCTCAACGACCCCTGGAGACCGATTTGAGCACTTGGTTGTCGTTCCTTGCTCACATATTCAGCCTTGGGTGGCGAACCTGCTCGTACCCCGTATCCTCTTGCCGTAACGGAAGAAAATGTATGGGAACGGCAGCATGGCCACTGTCAGGAAAGCGAGGAGCGAAGATGCCCAGGAATATCCAAGAGCCTCGTACATCTGGTTTCCAAACAACGGAAAGGCAGCTACCGCACCACACAAAAATTAGCCTCTCCTGCACGTGCGACCTGGAGAATAAGAGGGTACCAGCTGGACGGACGCGGGCACCGGTACCACCAGATGCACTTACCAGCGAACATGCAGCGCACAAAGGCATTGGCCGCCAGGACGCTCGCGGCGTAGAGCGGATAGGCGTCAACCTATGAGTCTCAGCGTCAGAGGCTTTCACGATGCTACAGTGCGTCCTCGCCCTCCAAATCGAGAGGGGGTTTTCCCCCTTCCTGCCACGCAGGGTACCGGACGGGGCTTTTGGGGGTGGAGGGGTGAAGGTAGGACAACATACGAGGAAAGTGAAGATGCCGGTGAAGACGAGCAGGGTTCTGCAAGCCCAGACGGTTAGCCGCATCGCTCCTTTTTAAACATTTCATGCAAGATGACTCGGACGAGCCTTGCGCAACCGCCTGACCAAGCTTTTACTAAGAATGACTGAAGCACGGTGCGGGTGGTGCCAGCGCCATGCAGTTCCCGTCTCTATTTTCAAGCCGACAAGTGTCATGAGCGGGACGATGCATCGTGCGCGGTCGAGCAGAGGCCACAGCCGCCGGACCTCTGACCAACTCTGGGCAGGGTCGCGAGCTGCCGTGCGACGAGGACTCGTAAAGGGAGGCACAGATGAAGCGAACAGGACGGGGGAAAGAAGACATACCAGCACCAAAAATACCAGAGCCAATGATGGGTGCGATCCAGTGGATATTGGCATTGGTAGTCCAGCCGAAGACGAAGAGGCCAACAGTCACGAGGAAGGCGCCGAGGATGGCCGACGGGAGGCGGTACTCGGGCTCGCTGGCAAAGGCCACGCCGGTGCGGCGCTCGTTGTCACGGATGAGACGATCGCGAATGGCATGCCACAGGGGATCGGTCGCGGCGGCACAGAGCATGCCGACGAGGATACCATTGAAGGCTAGGCCGACCTGCCACAGGTTGAAGCCGTGGGTGTTGCCGAAGACGAGAGAGAAGGCGCTGAAGAAGAGGTAGAGGACACCGAGGAGGATGGCGGAGAAGATGCAGAGCAGGAGGACCATGGGCTCGTAGGCGAGCAGCTGGAAGGGCCGGCGCAGCGACAAGGCGACGGTGCGGAGGATGGACTTGTCCGACTTGTCCATGGGGGCGCGCCAGCGGTCGTCGCCCGTGTCGGCGCGTACGGCGCGTGCCTTGAGGCGCAGGACGACGGGGTGATAGGTCTCGGGGACGAAGAACAGGATGAGCAGGCCCATGGCGACGGCCCACATGAGGAGGACGTAGTAGGTCCAGCGCCAATCGACGTTGTAGTTGATGAAGCCGCCGACGGTGGGGCCGATGGCGGGGCCGACAAAGGGCGCCATGGAGTACAGCAGCATCGGGGCCTGGAGGTGCTGGCGGTCGAAGAGGTCGCTGACGGTGCCGCCCGAGACGGCGAGGAAGGCGCTGCCGGAGAGGCCGTCGAAGAAGCGGGCGACGATCATGGTCTGAATGTTGGTGGCGACGGCCGAGGGGATGATCCAGATGATGTACATGGACCAGGCGACGAGGTAGATGGGGCGGCGGCCGTAGAACTCGGACAGCGGGCTCAGGAACATGGGGCCCAGGCTGATGCCCAGCACAAAGGTCGACAGGCCGAGGGTCGAGACGATGCGCGACGAGCCGAACTCGGCGTCCATCTTGATGTAGGTGGACGTGTAGATGGAGCTCGCGGCCGTGACGCAGAGGCTGGCGGCCGAGACGAGGGCGACGATGAGCCACTTGCGCGGCGTCGGCAGGGAGCGCGGGCACCAGGGGTCGCGGTCACCATTTTCAAATGAAACCTCGAAGGGGTCCTCCTTGGATCGTGCCCTGGCGGCACCGGCGGCGGCAGCATCCGTTGATGACGCCGACGGCTCATTGTCGTCCGAGGAGGGCTGGTAGTCGTCACAGGAGTAGCCGTTATGCGACCGGGCACGAGAGATGGTGCGGGCTACGGAGCGGGCGGAGGCCGTCGACAGTCGACGTGGTTGTGCATCTGGCGTTGCACGTGGATCGGTCCGGATGGGCGCGAACGTTGTGTCGGCGTCGGCGTCGGCGTCGGCGTCAGCGTCGGCCTTTTCGAGATCGCGGTCTACATCGGCCATGGTGTTTGAGTGTCAAGAGCTTGTAACCACGTGCGTCAGTTCCGAGTCTGCCCTCCTTGACGTGTGAGGCGATGTGAGAGAGACGAAGGGATCTAAAGATGAAGAGGCGTTTCGGGAGCTTCAAAGCTCAAGGCAATGACATCAGCACCCTGAATAGATTTCTAGGGTCGGCAGTCGATCCTTTTAGGGGGTGACATGGGCTCCACGATCCATTTATTTATTCCCGGGCCTTCATCTGACAACTGATGATGAATCGGTCGGCGTTTACGGGCTTGTTGCCGAAACCGCATCTTGAATAAACAAACGAATGGGGGGGAAAGGCGGAAAGCGGCTTGGGCCAATTCCCATGTCACCCGCACTGATGCTCCATTACTCAACGGGAGGGGTTCGTTCTTTTGCTTGGCTCGCGCGTCTCTCTCCTTGTTGGTCACATCGTGGTCGAACCTAATGGGACAGGGAAATCGGATGCCGGGGCGGGGAGCTGATTCATAGCCTAGGTCGGGGTTCCGCGCGCCGTCTTTTTTTCTTATTTTTCCTTTATCTCTTAAGGCTCTGCGGAGGGGCCCTGGCAGCAGGCAGGACGGAACTGTGTCGGCGAGTGCAGGCTGACGCCGTTCTTGTTCGGATTTCGCCATGATTTGTGCCACATGGACGCGGCCGCTCACGGGTGCCAGGGGTCGGATTCTTCCTCGAAAAGGTCTCGAAAAGGGCTGCACAGGGACGAATCCCGACCCATCGCATCGATTGTCGTCGTCGTCATGCTCGCGAGTGAGACGTCGCATGGGCTTCTGGGCGTTCTTGTCACGAGGGTCTAAGACAAGGGCGAGGCTCCACCACGGGGATTCGCAAGACGCGAGACGCGAGACGCGAGACGATGTCATTTGATAAGCCGCCCTCTTTTTCAACTCTATTTCGAATCCTCCGTTGACTCTAACTCGAATCCTCCGCTGACTGTATTTCGAATCCTCCGTTGACTGTTTTTCGAATCCCCCCACCGGTCAGCTGGTCTTCGTCATCGCCCGTAGCCCGCGTGGCGGGAATGGCGGCAGGCGGAGGCACGGTGGTTTTCCCACGTGTGAACCCAGAGTTTACCATAGCAGTGGCTTGATTCAATGCTTGTGCCTGGCGCCGTATGGTCTGGACATGAGCTTGTTGGCAGCCGTGCCCAGTAGTGGGAGGCGCAAGAGAAAGGCTGTTTGCACATGCTTATACCAGTATCTAGAACTGCCCATGGCCTGTCAGACTACCTACCATGCAAGACAGCACAAGGCATCCTTGACGCCGAAAGAAACCTCAATACTTTGTATGATCGACGGCTAGGTGGCAGAAAATTATGTCGCCAACTGAATTAAGGATGCAACGAACAGGACATTGACATGCTTGAACGTTGCTCGTTCTAAATAAACTTGCTAAAACAGTGCTTGCCAAGATCACATCACAGCTATTCAGGCAGGTGGTCATCCGTCTATGTACAGAGGTTTCAAAGGGATAAACCAGCTTCATCACAACCACATCATTTGTCATCTCGGGCCACCCAAAGGCAAGACATCATGACAAGCCGCCGCTCACCGGTAGAACTCGGGCAGGTCAAAGGCCGGCACGTCGGCGTCGCAGTCAAAGGCCCTGTCCCACGGCTTGGCCGGCATGAGGCCGCCGGCGAGGGCCTTTTTGTAGCTCCACAGCGGCGCGTCCTCCGTGTCCCAGGTCCAGTACCACCAGCCCCAGCCCTTCTCGAACGAGTGCATCTGGGCCTCGGCGAACATTTTGAGAAACTGCTTGTAGCCGTCGCTCATGTCGTCGACCTTGGCGTTGGCCGGCCCGCAGTCGCACCGCCTGTCCTTGGTCGGGCACCCGGGCGCCAGCACGGCGACGGCCGTGGCGTCGTCGCCGGGGTCGTACGTGCCCGTCCAGCGGTTGCCCTGGCCGACGTTGGTGAGGTGCGTCGCGCAGTCCGTGTCGGCCTGCGACCACTCGGCGAAGAGCGTCGGCCCGTAGCCCGTGGCGCGGTCCATGCTCTGCTGCGCCTGCTCCGTCCAGCCCTGGCACGCGTACTCGACCTTTTCCTGGTGCGTGTAGGCGATCTGGTCCTTGTTGAAGATGACGTACTGGTGCACGTCGAGCGCCATGTCGTCGTAGCCCGTCATGCGTCCCTGCCAGTTGTGCAGGCCCATGAAGCCGTCGCCGAAGACGACGACGGCGTCGACGCCGTTCTTGCGCACGAGCGCGTAGCACTCCTCCGTCCACGCAATGACGTCCGCCGTCGACAGCTCCGTCATCTTGGGCTCGTTGGCGAGGCCGTAAAAGGTGATGATGTTCTTGTACCGCGGCTGCGCGAAGAACTTGGACAGCCGGTCGTGCATCTCGACCGAGCGCCTGCGGTTCTCGGCCCCGGCCGTGCCGTTGAGCCAGCCGATGGGGCCCCAGCGGCCCGAGTGGTTCCATCCGTTCTGCGACCCCGGCAGCGCGTGCGGGTCGAGCTTGACGCGGAGGCCGTACTTGCGCGCCCACTCGATGCCGCGCAGCAGATAGCGCCACGACGTCCGCGCGAGGTACGGGTCGCTGTCGTCCCACACCTCGACGGCCCAGTAGCCGAACGGGATGCGCACGTGGTCGAGCCCGGCGTCGCGGATCTCCTTGAACGTCGACTCGGTGACAAAGCTCGCGTAGTGCGCCTCGAGCACCTCGGCCGTCTGGCGCTTGCCGAGGTGCGTGCTCAGCGTCCACTCGTCAATGATGCCGAGGCGCTTGTCGTAGGCAAAGAGCGACGGCGTGATGAAGGGTTCGAGCACGAGCCAGCCGCCCACATTGACACCCCGCGCCGGCCGCTTGTCGTACGAGCCCCAAGCCTTGTCGAGCGCCGGCACCTGGTCGTTGCAGCGCGTCGAGTCGTCCCAGTCGTCAAAGAGGCCCATGATGGGCAGGTCGCCCACCGTCTCGTCGGTGAAGGTGACGTTGAAATCGTCCGTGTTGTCCCAGCTGAAGGGGTCGAGGTACGTGCCGCGCCACTGCATCGGGATGCTGTCCTTGTCCTTGTCTTTGAGGTCGGCACCTGCGCTCGCGCTGCTGTCTGACGAGTTCTTCTTCGAGACGACGACGGCCACGACAACGATGATGATGATGAGAACGACCGAAATGCCCATGCAGATCCCTGTTCTGTTAGCGCGTCGTTTGGTCCGTCTCGCGGCATGCTGTCACGTACAGAGCTTCCTCTTCTTGCGGACCGGCCTCACTGGCGGGTCGTAGTCCGAGTCGTCCAGGTCCTTCGTAGGCACAGCACTGCTGCCGCCGCCCCTGAGCCTGCCGAAGAAGCCACCAATCTTCCACCCTTGGCCCTCTTCCAGAGCAGCGCCGCTGACGATCCGCTTGTCCTTGGCGCCTTTTTTCTGCTTTCGAGGCTTCTCATACTCAACGTCAGAGAAGTCGTCACGCCGCTCGCGCCGCACCGTCCTCTTTGTCCTCGGCACGTCCTCATACCTCGCCTGCCGTCGTTCGTCCTCAAGACGCCACCTCTCCTCGACCAAGGCCCGTCTCCGCTCGTCCTCAAGGCGGCTGCGCCTCTGCCTCTGCTCGTCGTCATCGTGTCGGCTGCGCGTCCGCTCGCCCGGCGGCTGGCGACTCGACCTCCGCCTCTCGTCGTCGGGCCTGCTCTTGCGCCTCTCGCCAGCCTCCTCGCGCTCTCGCCGCCGGCGTCGCCGTTCCCTGCGCTCCCGCTGCCGCTCCTCCCTCTCGCGGTCGGGGCTGTCGTCGCGAACAGGGCCGCCGCCGCTGTTGAGCTGCGCCAGGGCATCGGCCGAGAGGCCGTGGGAGCGCGAGCTGCGTTCGGCGCGGCTCTGTTCCGAGTCTGTCGTGGTCGTCGTCGGTGGTCTCTTGGCGCGGCGAGGTCTGTCTTCGTCCTGCTGGGCTCTTCTATTCCTGCGTCGTTGGTCGCGCTCCTCGGTCGACTCGTGCCGGCGGTGTGACGGCCGGGTCGAGGAATCTCGAGGCATGGCGGGGTAAATGGAGCAAGGGCGTGTCTCGGCTTCGATGTGTCGGCAAGATGGTATGCGGGGAGGTTGAACAGCGGGGAAAGCAGAGATGAGAAGAATGTTCTGCTGTCACGTTGAATGCATTGTTCGTATCTATCCAGCCGCCGAGCAAATACCAAGCCACACTCGTTCGTCGTGGCCCGAGGCGAGGCAGTGACTTCCCTGCTTGATGGCCGTATTGGTCTGTGCAGGGTTGGCACGGCAACCCCATCGTGCCTTCTCATCAGTGACGATGCTTGTGAAGGACGGGACTACTCTGCTTCAGTTAGTCAGCAGGTTAGTCAGCAGGAACCATATAATGTAGTCCTGGGGGCGCGTTGGTCCACAACCTAAGCCAGATACAATAACACTTATCCACCTAATACCAACTGCTTTTTGCCTGGGCACCACCAGAAATGGGAATCAATAGAATAGTGGTTATTTGATGGGAATTCAAGTGTGGATGTGTTGGTAAAGAATGGTACATGGTTGAATTGACCAAGTCCTGGATCCTCACATCTGTGAGTCCCCAGCAAATGCATACCTCCTATAGGTGCATTTTCCTCCAGCCCAATCCCCCAAGTGACCATCTATCAACACGGCCGTCCACAGCCTCGATACTCACCTCCGCCTATGCAACAGTCTGCTTAGGTACGTCCATTCATTCACCCTGAGTGAACGCTTCGGTTCTTCAGAGATGCGCTCTTCCAGTTGGTCCCTTGCAAAGACTAAAAGAAGGTGTCATTAGCCACCATCAAGCGAGGAAGCCCCATCGGCAGAGTGTTGATGACGTTGCAGCACCAGCAGCAGTCGTGGCATGAATGCCAACCCAGAGAAGAAAGACACGACAACAGCAGCAGCATTGCAGACATGTTTCTGTGGCAGAATCAGTTGCATGGAAGATCAGTCGTGATGAACAACCGCCACCATGCGTCCCAACAGGCACCACCATGGCGTCGCTGGATGTGACAAAATCCATCTATACTGCTCCAATTGATGTATTCTTTCAGAATGAATCTGCATGGTAGCACGCGTCTGATCTGCATTACGATGCTGTTGTTGTAAGTGACAATCTGCGCTACCACGACACGTGCATCACCATTCAGCCCAGCCTTGAGTGCCTCGAGCACCTGGTAAGCTATCATGCCTGCAATGGGCAATATGGGCAAGGCGCTTGATCATGGAGACATGCAACTCACGTAGAACAAGCATTCGGTCCTCATCTGCCTGCACCAAAAACCCATGAAGCTCGATGAAGCGTGACACACGTTCCGAGGACTCCACCTCCAAAGACCCAACCTGCCGCGAGCATGACGATCCTCGGGACGCGGTTCGCAATGTGAACCTCAAACGCCAAACCAAACACAAATCCTATTCTCCTGCATCAAATCCGCATATAATGGCATTGCTGGTCGTCTCTCCGACTCCTCGCACCATCTCCGCACCTCCGCATCTCCGCATCTCCGCACCAGCTCGTCATGCCTCAGCAAAGATACAGTCAACGACTCGTGGGAACACGTCTGTCGAAGATCCGAGGACAGTCGCGTATAAGACACAATCCACCGTCTCGCTCATAGACACCTTTCCAAGATCGCCATCTCTCGCAAGTAGCTTCTACAATCTAAACCTCCAGTGGGTCGTGCTCAGTTCTTGTCGTCCCCCAGTCACTCTAGTATAGCGTCCTAGCCGCGCCCAATGTCGACCGAATCGCAAACACTCGGCCAGTGGGTCACAGAGCTCAACACCACTCTGTTCTTCCAGCCGGACGACGAGCTGGCGCGGAGGGCTGTCGAGGAACATATTGATACCAGCTTGGTCGTCAAGTACGTCCGTCCTCACGAGACTGTCTTAAGCGAGCAGCCGTCCCTAACCTGCGTGGCATCCCAGAATCAACCACAATGTCTACACGTATGACCAGTTCAAGCCGGGCATCCAGCACGCCCGTAGTTCTCGCATCTCGGTCCTCGAGACTTTCTCTGTCCTGCTCGAGTGGGAGGACCCGGTGAAGAAGGACGGCGTCGTCGCCGTGCTCAGCACGTGGTCGACGGTGGACAAGGCCTCGGGGGAGGAGAAGAAGCACACCACCGTCATCATCTGGGAGATCAAGTTGATTGATGGGAAGAGGAAGGTCACGGCTCAAACTGAGGCCGAGTCCAGCTGAGCGGGACTGAGAAAGGCCCTGCATGTCGCTTCATCCATAGAAATCGACTCTCAGATTTGCATTTCCATGATTAGGTTTCGTCGTCATGTGCTCGCGGCGCTGCTTTTATTGTCGTACTTGTCGGTCGCATCAAGCCGCTGGCGTTCATGTATGCCATACATAGTCTGGGCCGGTGTTGTCAAGACAGAAGCAGTCTGCCCACACAGAATCTCGTAGGGATTGGCTGCGCCGGTTTTCGACCTCAAGCTCCCTCGTCGAGATCTCATCAGAGGCTTGGCTGCATACACCGAAACAGTTGTCCTGGCTCCCTCGCTCCAGTCGCCAAGTGTTCCGATTCGCGAGCCAGACGCCGTGATCGCCGCGTCCATCTCGCGCCATCTGCCAGAGCAATGCCGGGAGACCCACACCGAACCAAGTCCGCACCATCTCCGCACCATCTCCGCTAGCAACGGAGCGACCCCCGACTTCTCTCCCATTTCACAGACTATTCCTTCAACGTCCGGCACACCTCACGTCCGCATCTGCTCCCCCCCCCCAAGATGGACCGTCGAACGAAGCAAAAGTCCTGCTACCCCTGTGTCGACAGCAAGCGGCGCTGCGACCGGACGCTGCCGTCCTGCACGAGATGCATCGACAGAGGCGTGCAATGCGCCTGGCCGGGAGCACAACAACGGAGATTGGGCAAGCCTGCTCCAGAACAGTCCGAGTCTACCAACCCCGCATTCACCAGTGTTCACGGGGATGACAATCAAGGCACCGTGGCGGGCCAAGAGCCGCCTTCCATAAGCCATCACACGGCCATGCATGAGACCATGTTCATGATATCGCCCCCGCATGGCATCTCGCCCATGCCCGACGCTGATCATGACGCACCGCACAATTCCGGCCTTGCTAGTAGTACCATTTCGTTCGGGTCTTCGACTTCACCAGCCTCTGTCGCACCCGGCGCGGGAACCAGCTCTGTCGGCACAAACGTGTCGCCGTCGACGGGTCAGAACCTCAAATGGTTTACGCACCCTTCGACATGGACAATCGGGTACCACTACCAGCTGCACGAGGGCCTCCCCTCGCCGCAGGCCTTCTCCGACTTCATCCGCGGCCTGCAGTGCTGGGTGCGGCGCTTTCAACGAGAAGGCCACTCACCGCTGATCCACCGCCAGCTGTACCCGGCCAGGGCCATCCCGGACTGCATCCAGGACGCCTACGCCGCCATTGCTGTTGCGGAGGGCGTCTGCCCCGAGAATGAGAACCTGGTGGACAGCATCGCCAACTCCTTGGTCATGCGGCTGATATCTTCCTATCCCCAGATGCCGGCCCACGGGCTCTCGATTGTCACCACCGCCGATCACCTCGCCCGCACCCAGGCTCTCCTTATCCACATCATTCTCGCCTTATTCTCCTCCTCCATATCGCGCCAGGCCAAGGCGGAGAGCCTCATCGAGACTCTCCACCGCTGGAAACTCGCCTTGTGGGAGTCCGCCAGCCAGGAAGCGAGCCTTGTGGACATGTTCCCCTCCGTGCAAGCCGATCCTCTGGGAAGCGGAGAACCAGCAGGCGAATCGGTCCCGGAGCTGCATCGTGCCTTCATCATGTGCGAGTCAATTCGACGCACCTGGCTCGTGTCTGCAATGACGATAGGGGTCTACCGCAGCCTCAGAGGAGACTGGAGCTCCGCATGCGCGGGGGACGTTCTGTTCACGAGCCGCGCGGGGCTGTGGGACGCGTCCACGTCGGCACGCTGGGCAGCGATAGCCGAAGGAGAGGACCCCCTATTTGACTATAGTCTTGCGAGTCGTCAATTGGCGAAGCGCGATCTGTCGGTTGCGGAGGTCGACGAGTTCGCTCTCCATCTGTACTCGCTGATGTGGGGGGCTGACACGGTGGAATCTTGGTTTGTGCGGACTTGAAGGTTAGACAAGGGAAGAGTCCGCATTCTGCGACAGATCCGCACAACTCCGAGTATTCGTCTTGATGTACAATGTAATCACCGCAATGCGGTCCGAAGCGTTTGCACGAGCCCCAGAGATCCCGTTGATGGACAGTGACCCAGCTATATTTCCAAGATCAACTGCTTCACCTCTGCACGTCGCAGGCTTTGTTCATTTTGTACCTTCATCCATCTGTAGACTTCTTTCGCACTCGCGATTCAACTCAGTGTCTAAACACAGCAAGCAATGGGAGCCACTTGGAACCCAGCGCAAGACATGCCGAACCTTACAGGCAAGATCGCTCTTGTCACGGGCGCAAGGTAGAACACTCTTACGAGAGAACGAGGGCGCGTTCGTCTTTGCATCTCGCTGACATCGCAAAGCACCGGGATAGGGTTCCAAATTGTTCGTAGGCTCGCCCAACGAGGAGCCAAGGTCTTCGCCACGACCCGGTCGGAGGAGAAAGCAGAGAAAGCTCGAGATGCCCTAAAGACTCGCCACCCCGATATCCCGGCGGGGGCCATTGAGTGGCTGCCACTCGATCTAACCAATCTTCAAAGGATCAGCGAAGTTTCAGAAGAGATTCGTAGTAAAGCTGATAGGCTCGATGTTCTGGGTAAGTTGCTCCAGATTCCAGTGGGGTTATCAGAGAATCATCAGCTCCTGACGTAGTGGCCTTCGCAAGTCCACAACGCGGCAACCGCCACACCGGTCCATCAGCTTGTGGACGGAAGATGGGAAAAGCACATGGCAGTCAGGTATGACACTTCCTAGTGGCCTTGGCGTAGAGCCTTGAACTGACGGAAATCTCATAGTGTCGTCGGGCCGTTTCTTTTGACGAACCGGTTATTGCCTCTCCTTCAGAAGACGGCCAAGATGCCGGGCGCCGACGTCAGGATCGTCACCTGCTCTTCAAACGCTCCACAAGTGTTCTTGCCAAAGGACTATCCCCTGCGTTTCGACTCGCCCTCGGCGCTTGCAGCATCAGTTTCTACTTACCCGTGGCACTGGCGATTTCTTGGGCGATTCGTCTTCGCCAGCGACATGATCCTGTACAGCGTGGCCAAGGCCGGAGCGGAAGTCTTCGCGACGCAGCTCCAGAAGACACTTGATCAAAGCCATCTACCCATTTTGTCGTTGGTCGTCCACCCTGGCCCGACAGCGACCGAAGGCTTGTTGGAGGTCAATGGTACTTTCATCAGAGCGGTCGCTCGCCTTGTTTTCCAGTCCGCAGAGCAGGCTGCCTCGTTGCACCTCTTTGCAGCCACGGCGGAACGGGTCCGCCAGCAGCCGGAGCAGTTCAAGAACGCTCTATTGGTACCGGGTGGCCAAACAATGAAGCTGCACCCAGTCACCTCGGATGGCAAGCAGGCCGGAGGACTGTGGGATACAGTCGACGGACAGTTGAATCAGTATCTCAAGGCGGACGGTCTCGCTCCACTGCAGGGTTGGTGATGGGTTTCTTCTGCTGATACTGTGATGCCCTGGAAATATGGCAAGATGCGTAGATAGTTAATGGAAGTGGTCGATGGAAGTGGAGGCAGTCGGTTGACTCGGTCACTGTAGATTTGTGGTAGGTGCCTACCAGATACCTACCCAAACTAGGTAGGTACCTACCTTACCTTAGGCAGGTGGTTGCAAGAATAAGGACAGTGCTTGCCCAGTCTTCCCGGGCAAGCCGGTGTGTACCTTGATCACTGGTTGTGAGGCAGGTGGGTCTGTGCCCCACCCCCGTCTGTGCTTTCCTGGGGCTTGAGCCGACATGAGGCAGGCATTGACCTGTCTTGGCCCTCGACAGCCCCGCGAATGCCGCAACAAGCCGAAACAGCATCACCGTTGCAGACCGACCCCCTCGGCAGGCACCCTCTACCTTCTTCTCCTCTTCTCATAGACTCCCTTCACTTGCAACTCTGTCAAAGAAACACCATCGTGATTTTTCTCCAATAGACATATCGTCACAATGAAGCTGTCTCCATTACGCAATGCCGCCAGGAGAGCGCTGGCGCCCTCCAGGACATCCTGCCTCACATCTTCGCTCGCCCCGTCCCTGACGCTCCTCTCACGAAACTACTCCTCCCATGCTCCCAATGCAAAGCTCAACCTTCCGATAGACTATGCGACAACGTCCCTCCTTGCCCACTCGTCCCAGACGGCGCTGGCCACGACCGATCTACCCCCCGAAGCCCGCGCCGGCCCCACAAAGAAGATGAACCTCTTCCAGGCTGTCAACGACGCTCTCTCTACAGCCCTCGCCCAGGACGATGCAGTCATGGTCTTTGGCGAGGATGTCGCCTTTGGCGGCGTCTTCCGCTGCACGATGAAGCTCGCCGAGACATACGGCAACGACCGCGTCTTCAACACACCTCTCACCGAGCAGGGCATTATGGGCTTTGCCATTGGCGCCGCCGCCGAGGGTATGCGTCCCGTCGCCGAGATTCAATTTGCCGACTACGTCTACCCGGCCTTTGACCAGCTTGTCAACGAGGCGGCCAAGTACCGATACCGCGAGGGTGCCTGCGGCCGCAGCGTCGGCGGTCTCACCGTCCGCATGCCCTGCGGCAGTGTCGGCCACGGCGCCATGTACCACTCCCAGTCGCCCGAAAGCCTGTTCACCCACATTCCCGGCCTACGCGTCGTCGTGCCGCGCTCGCCACTCCAGGCCAAGGGTCTCCTGCTCGCCGCCATCCAGAGCAACGACCCCGTCGTGTTCATGGAGCCCAAAATCCTCTACCGCGCCGCCGTCGAGCAGGTCCCCACCGCTCCCTATACGCTGCCCCTCGGCAAGGCCGAGATCCTGAAGGAGGGCAAGGACGTCACTGTCATTTCGTATGGCCAGCCCCTGTACACGTGCATGTCGGCGATTCAGCGTGCTGAAGAGGAGCTCGGCATCTCCGTGGAGCTCATCGACCTGCGCACCATCTACCCCTGGGACAAGGAGACGGTCTTCAACAGCGTGCGCAAGACAGGCCACTGCGTTGTCGTGCACGAGGCCATGGTGAACGCCGGCACGGGCGCCGAGGTGGCAGCCGCGATTCAGGAGGACCCCGACACGTTCAACCGCCTCGAGGCGCCAGTGGCGAGGGTTGCTGGTTGGAGCATCCACACGCCTCTGCTGTATGAGCGTTTCAACGTGCCAGACGTTGCCAGTGAGTTTGACTTGTTCGGGTTTCTCAAAGAGACTTTGGCTGATCTTGAACAGGGATATACGACAACATCAAGCGGGTGCTGGATTACTGACGGAACTGGAGGAATGTGGTGGGGAGCGGCAGACCTGAAATGTTATTTGCGCAGGCGTTGGTTGATGCACAAAATCATAGAGAAGATCAATCTGAACGAAGCTACACCCATGATGCGAGTTCTGTGAGCTCCATTATTCCATGCCAGGCACGACCATGACTTGTCAGGATTGAGTAACCTGTTCGACCGGCAAATAGGTTGGTCTCAATAAAGGCACAGTGTTGTTGACATTCTCGAAGCTATGTGATGTCGTACGCCAGGGGCACCGAATTGCAGAAGAGAAGACTACGTCTTACCATCTGTGGATAAGGTACCTTAGGTGGCTACCGTCGGCCCCACCAAGTTGAGTGACGCCGGCGAATCTTCGGTCCAGTAGACACCAGTGACCTCAAGCTTGGTTGTGGTTGCGCCCCTCGAGACGGATGCCCCGCATTACGTTACTGTCGCTCGTTTCAACGGGAGCTCTACCACCAAACCGTCCAGACCTTGCAACCAGATCGGCCGCCCTCCAATCCTCAGTGGCTTTTGTAACTTCACGTGCACAACTCCCAATACACCATGTCTGAGGTCGAGACTGTCTCGGCCTTTGTCGAGGGCGCCCCTCCCGGCGAGGTAAGTCGCGCAGCCTCCCCCTCATAGCTCCAGCCAAGCTGACCCAGACCGAAGCTCGCAGATGTCATTGCAGGTACTTCGTACACCTCCGACGACCCGACCTCTCATTCCCGCATACTGACACGGTGCAAGACATCAAGTCCCTCACCATTGACAGTCCCGACATTGTTGCGAACCTCGCTCCCGCCTTTGAGAAGTACAACGAGGAGCAACTTATCACCGTGAAGCTGCCCGGAAGCAGCCAGTCCGTCCGTCACACCAGTCGCCCTGAAATTGGCAGGATTGCTTGGCTTACGGACATCAGCAGGTTATCATCAGCGCGCACAACGCCCTCGGCCAGGGACAATACTTTGACGTCGAGAGCAGCTCGAGCTTCACATTCGATCACCCCACACAGGTCCGGACCACGATCCCAGCCCGGTGAACATCAGTTGACGAGTCGCTACAGAAAGCCAGCAATGTGCAATCCTACGTTCTCGAGGGCGCGCAATCTGACCTGGTGTAAGGGGCTTTCCGTGGATGTCCCTCTCGCACGAAACACGACTGACAGCCTGCAGCAAGTCGACCTTGAAGAGTCTCGGCCCCTACGTCAAGGAGCACTTTGCCAACGCCGCCTACGGTGTCTACCCCATCGAGGAAGACTCCAAGGTGGCCGTCGTTATCGTTTCAAACAAGTACAGCCCCAACAATTTCTGGTAAGGCTGATCCACGATCCCTCCCCTTTTTCACGCCGCACATGCTGACATCATCCAGGAACGGCCGATGGCGCTCCGTCTACACCTTCGACCCGGCATCGGGTGCCCTCGAGGGGTCTATCAAGGTCGACGTCCATTACTACGAGGACGGTAACGTGCGCCTTCTCACCGACCGACCCTCGACGGCGTCCGTGTCCTCAGGCACCGGCGCCGGCATCGTCAAGGAGATCTCGGCGGCAGAGAAGAAGTACCAGGACGAGCTGAACAGAGGGTTCACGAATCTCAGCGAGGGCACGTTCAAGGGTCTGCGGAGACAGCTGCCGGTGACGAGACAGAAGATTGAGTGGGACAAGGTAACCAGCTACCGGTTAGGCCAGGACATTGGCGGTGGCAGCGGCTCGCGGCGGTGAGGTGGCCTGAGGCGAGCTAGGCAGAAGGTGGTGACGATACGCTCAGTTGATGAGACTCAGATACAAGGCGGAAATAAGAAGAATACCATGCCATATTGATGACTTCACATGAAAAGGACCAACTCCCGGCCTGGATGCCAACGGAGCGTCGCGCACTGGGTTGCGCGTGGTTGTATCACAAGTGGCCGGCCAAGCACATGCGTTCCTGGCTCGGGGGCGGGGCAATTTCCCAGCGGAGCCGGAATCCCGAACGCTTTCCGACTCCACGCTACCCTGCTCTATCGCCAATCAGGAGTCAACATCAACAATTTCAGCACTTCTGATTCGTCAAAACAGGGACAATATCTGTTGACCCTAGACGACCCGAGCTTATCGGTAATTCCCCCAATTTTCCTCCAGGACCCTCGAACTCATCCAGCTCCATCAATCTCAACAACCTGCCGAACAGCATCTTCTGGCCTGATCTCCCGCTCTGCCCCAGTCGCTCGTCGCAAGAACAAACCGGATTCATCGTCTAATCGCTCGCCGCGGCCCTCGCATCCCAACTCCGAATCATCACCGAGACAAGAGCCTAAGGCCAGATCGTCAGAAATCCGTCAAGATGGGCGCCGAATTCACCTTCCAGGATGTGGCCGAGCACAACACCAAGAACGACCTCTACATGGTTGTCCACGACAAGGTCTACGACTGCACCAAGTTCGTCGACGAGCACCCGTGAGTTTTCCCCAAGGCTGCAAAACCCCACGCCAGCGCCGTGCCCCTCTCTCACACACCGACTAACCCCTATTTCCCTTCACAGCGGCGGCGAGGAGGTCATGCTTGACGTCGGCGGCCAGGACGCCACAGAGGCTTTCGAGGACGTGGGTCACAGCGACGAGGCGCGCGACACGCTTGCGCAGCTCGAGGTCGGCACCCTGAAGAGGCTGGTACGTACCATTTTCTCTGACAGCCCTACGCTCCGTTACCCCTCGGGTCTCGCTCCCCGCGATGAAACCAAGAGCAGAAGAAACTGACAGTGCTCCGCGCCAGGCCGGCGACCCTGCCCCCAACAAGCCCGCCGCCAGCACGTCCAGCTCCAGCAACAACGCCGACACCTCTGGCATCGGCATCGGCCTGTACGCCGTCCTCCTCGTCGGCGGCGCCGTCGCCTACGGCGCGTACCAGTACCTGCAGCAGCAGCAGCAGCAGCAGCCCTCGGCTTAAATGACGGGCGGCTTCTGTACGAATCATGTCTTCACACACCATTATACACACACAGACGGACTCACGACGGTGCCGGCCCGGCAGAGGTGGAGCGATATGTGCATCCTCTTCGACAGCGGGGCCCAGGCTTGCTTTCTGCTGTCGGGAGAGCGCAGGAGGTCGCTGCCGCCGCGCATGTCGCGGCGGACTGGGAGGGCTGTGATTTAGGCGTTTCCTAGTTCTGAAGCCACCGAGGGGGTTCGGTTCGGCTTCATGGGACGCTCGTCAGCGAGATAGAATCTTTTTAATATAACCATGTTACTTGATGGATTGATGATTGCGGACTGTTCGTCGAGGCTGCTGCCAACGTTCTGTCATGGTTGCTACGAGCATATGTCGTTGAAGAGCTGTGAATATCCATCCCGCATACTCGCTTCTTAGTCGCCTGCGCTCCTCGAGCGCCGTGCTGCAAGTGCCTTCAACTGTACGTTCATGGCGGGGACTGAGCGTTTCGATAGCTTTGACTATGGATCATTGGCATTGTCCGCGATATTACTTGATAGATGGCGTTCAGATTCACTGACCAGCCTCAATGAGAATAGTTTATGAGGGACTTGTGGATGATCAGTTTAAAGGCCATGTCCTGTCTTTCGGTTGGTGCTATCTACTTATGCGTATCGACTTTCGATCATGGTTGATGTCAAACAGGGCTCACCTCTGTCAACATTTCACTGTATGAACCATACATGAATTGTAGATCGCAGGCCTACAAATGAATAACATGCCCTTCTCGTAGATCTAAAAGTAGCAAAACTTCGACAGTCCCCTAATTTGAACCAAAAGACCACCAGAAACCATCGCCAACATACTCGACCAGTATTACCTTGAATTGACGACTTTGGTCAGTGCAACCCGTCCAGAGCAGCGGATACCCACTCCCCTGTGCACGTCCCTCACTGCACCGTTAGCGCCGACAGACGGTGCTTACTAAGGACCCAGATCCCTGCCTGGATCTTAGCTTTCGGAGCACCATGTCCAGGCCCACTGACGACCTGCATGTCCCATCCAGCAGAAAGGCAATCTCGAACCCTTCCGAAAGAACAGTTTGCAACCATCACCACGGCCAGTCCTGGCACGACACGACTTTACGGATCGCTCGAAGGATTGCCAAGCAACAAGTCATCCTCGACAACGAAGCTGCCGACCGGAAGAAAGCTTCTCGCAGGCGGACCGACGATAGAGAAGCTCCTCGCAGGCGTACCGACGATAAAGAAGCTCCCACCCTAGCTTCGGCCTCGACAAGCGCCTCACTCCGCGAACGCGACTCCGTCAGCGCACACGACTCAGTCAACGCCCGCAGGAAGAGGTCCGTCTTCCTCCAGAACGCTCTTGGGAAGTTCAGCCAGCACTCCGATCTTAAAATACTTCGCCAGCCCGTCGTCGAGCAGCCTGACCCTTCGGCGCCCGCGACCAGGCGCATTCAGGACGACGCGGCGACTACTCGAGCCCGCAAGTAGACGATCGAGCCCGAATCGCCTGAGGCTGCTGTCTAGCCAAGCTCCAGTGTCGCCGACGACAGCGCGTTAGTGAAGGCGCATTGAGGAAGCTCTCTGGCTGCTTGAGCTGCCGAACAGGACGACATCCGAGTCTTGGGGACTGTCGACCTAGTCGGGCTTTGGTCGGACCGTTTCACCAATCGTCTGGCGAAGACCTGGAATAGAGACCGCCGACAAGTCACCGTCTAAATATTTGATTTCTCCTGAACGGCCAGGAAGGAGAGAGGGCGGCATCCTTCGCATCGCCTTGGGTGCATCACCTCTGCACACCCGACGAAGGACCCCTGTTCCTGGACAAATCCTCATCACGGGCCCTCCCCTCATCGCCACTACAGAACCGCGATCATGTCGTACCTCGAGAAGCAAAAGGCCGGCTTCAGCAGCTCCCTCGCCTCGGCGTCGGGCAAGCTGAGCGTCAAGACGTCCGCCTTCACGCCGACGCCGGCGCCGGTCAAGAAGGAGCCGAAGCGCAAGATCCCCGTCGACGGCGACGACAACATCAACACGATCATCCTGCTCATGACGTACATCCACGAGTACCTGCGCGCGCAGACGGAGCCGAAAAAGGCGCAAGACATCATCGACAATCTCGAAAAGGAGGGCCACCTGCGCAACCCCAGCCTGTCCAAGTGCCAGCGCATCATCGACGTGCTGCGGCACCAGACGGTCGTCCAGTTCAAGGCCGACCCGTCGCTGACGGAGCAGAAATGGGACTCGGGCACGTACTTCTACCTCGGCAAGCTCGGCGGCATCAAGGACAAGGTCGGCCTGCTGGGCCACCTGCAGGCGAAGAGCAGCATGGAGCCGCTGCTGTACAAGGAGCTCAAGGAGGGGTGGCCGCAGTGCGACGCCGCGCTCGCCGAGCTCAAGCGCGAGAACAAGATCATCACCGTCGAGGACAAGAAGACGATCAAGCACATCTTCATCGACGACCCGACGCTGCGCCACACGGTCGAGGACGATTTCAAAAACATGTGGAAGCGCGTCGTCGTGCCGAGCAACGACGATATCGTCAAGAAGCTCGTCGCGGCCGGGCAGAAGCCGGCGAGTGCCGACCCGAACCTCGTTAAGAAGATCGACACGAAGAAGATCAAGAAGAGGGCGAACCGGCGGTCGGCCATGACGACCAACGTGCACATGCAGCATCTGCTCAAGGATTTCAGCGGCGGCAAGAAATGAGCTGGCGCCCCTGCCAGGCCTTGCAGGGCTACCATGGCATGGCCGGGTTGCGGGATGAGCTACACGGCAGACAGGCGTTTCCTGATTTTGGCGTTGGGTTGGTGTTCTTCACGTTGTGAAGGGTTAAAAGGCAAAGAAAAAAGCCTGTGTATAGGTATGTATAGACGGTGCAACCTAGCAGGTGCGGTAGGTATCAATGATCAAAAGACAAAGCATCGTATGTGTTCCCACAGCTCCCTCCCCATGTCCCTGTCCCTCATAATGTTACAAATGACGCCCCACGCTTTGATCAAACCATATATCCATCGCCTCCCATCTGACAAAAATTAGTACCACCCAAACCTAAGGAAGCCTTCATCCGTCTAGTATGCTCTTCAGCCACATGTCACTTCCTCGACTCCCCTGCCTCCTTGCCCCTTCGTGGTGACTGCCGCCGCCGCCACCGCCTGCTCCTCCAGCTGCGACTCCCCTCGCTGCCTTCTCGAAAACGCCCAGCAACAAGTCAACGCCCTGCATGCCGCCGACCCTCCATTGACCCTGTATGGTCATGGTCGGGACTCCCGCGACGCCCCTCTCGCCCCTCGCGCGCGCTGCCTCCTCGTCCGTCCCCCGTTGGCTCTCCTCACTCTCGAGTACGTCATGTGCGTCGGCGCGGTCTAGCCCCGCTTGCGCCGCGAGCTCGAGGAGAACCTCTCGATCGGAGACGTCGAGACATCGAGCAAAGTAGGCATTGTAGAGAGCGTCGAGAAAGCGGGACTGTGGTGTGGAATAGGCAGGCATGGCGCCGCGGGGCTGCGCGTAACCGTGGCCGGGGACTGACGGGAAGGGCGCTGAGGAGCTTGTGGCTCTCGGAGATGGGGTCGATGCTGGCGAGGACGACTGGGAGCGAGCGAGGTGGCGGAGGAGCTGGTGGGCGGGGCGGGAGTTCCCTGCTGTGCCGGCCGTGAAGGACGCCGGGGATAGCGTCAGGCGGGCCTCCAGGGCGGCGGTTGTGAGGCGGGACTGAATATCTGGCGCAAAGGGGTAAAGGGGCGCTCGGGGTTGGTCTGGTGTGTGTGTGTCAGTGAGAATGGCTCGTGCTTTCTAGGCGAGGACGGAGGGGGACATGGCAGAGACAGGAGAGACGTGAAGGACCAGAACAGCGGAAGAGGGGCCATACTAGTTGGAGGCAAGTTGGGGTACAGGTAGAAGGGCTTCCACACGACGTGGAAGACGGTATTAGGGTCGCGCTCGCGGTGCAGGGCGATGGCGCGGTCGAGATTGGCTTTGGCAATGTAGCACCAGGGACAAAGGGTGTCGGAAACGACTTCGATGTGGATCGTGACCATGGTGATGCAAGGCACCTATGCAAGAACTAAGGTAGGTAGATCGAGTATTGGTAGATGCTCTGAACGAATAAGGTGGTGAAAGTAATCAAGCCCACAGAGCTAAGGGCAGGGCGATGTAGAACACAAACGCAGAGGGACCATGCTATGTGCCGTGTGCCAGGTGCATCGCATCGCATCGTCGAGGGAAGGCAGACACGGCCCAGATATAAGACGGGAAGCCGAGCTTCTACTAATCAACCCAACCGGCAATTGAGGGTCAACGGACAGGAGGGGCGCGGCTTCCCATCTCATCTGGGCTTAGTTGCCTTGCCCTTAAGGTGAGGCAGGTAAGGTCGGTAGGTACCTACCTCAAGGTGAGGAGGTGAAGGAGGGTAAGGCAGGTGAATCCGCTCATGGAGGAAACAGGGTCCAAGTGCCCCTGCCGCGCCCATGGAAGCTCGAGCAAGGCTGTTGCTCTCTTTCTTGCCCGAACCAGGTGTTTCGCGGAGCCTGCACGAGGAGAGGTCGGGCAAGAACAGATGACCGAAGGCAGACATGAGAAGCGACGAGCAACGAGGGATGAGCCCGAGCAGGGGACAAGGCGGATGCGAGAATCCCAGACCCATGATGCCACCATCTCGCACCACCACGACGCATCCTCGTGGAAAGGATGCCAGACAGAGCAATCAGGTATCAGAAAAGCATCAGAATTGGACTAGCTGGTCCCAGCAGACCGGCGCCCCCGCGCGCCTCGCTGAAGAAAGTCGGGATTCCAGATCGATTAGTACGTAGTCCCGATCGCAGGGGGCCGTCCGAACGGTAAATCAAAAACACGCGAGCAAGAAAAAACGTACGATGCACTAACCCAGCCGCTCCAGCGCTCCAGCGTGGCGGCCACGCGCCCGCCCACCTTTCCATCCACCCTGTCCACCCCCCAAGCCCCCTTTCGGAAAAAGCAACCCAGGAACCAAAGCGAGAGAAAAATCAACATGGAGGGAGACAAAACACCCACACCCCCGGGGCCATGGAGGCGTCCAGGCCTCCTCGTGTCGATTCTGTCGAGTCAAACTCCCCTCTCGAAAACCACTCTGTCCCGGCATCCTGGGCACCTCCCCACGCAGCTGCTCCCACGCCAGACAGGCATCTCACGGCGAGGCTACAAGTACATGTCGCCAAGCTGGCTGGCTGGCTGGTACATAGTACTGTGTACGTCCGTGAGGGGGGCGCAAGGGATATGGGTTGGGCGATGTGCGACCCCAGGCCCTGCATTGCGGCCCTACCCCTGCCTGCCATGGACATGCACCATGCCCTGCAAACCATAAAGCATACGAGTTCACGCTGACCTCCGACGTGAACCCCGGGAAATCACCACAACTCCATCGGCCGCGATCTAGATTTGTTCGCCAGAGACACGGACGACTAGGGCCTGGCCTGCTTTCCTCGCTCACTGGACGTCCATGGTCCAGTCAAGACGTGTAAGCTGCATCGTTTTCTGACCGACATGCCACCCTACTGCATCGCTGTGTTCCAAATAAACCCTGCACTGCTGCGTTGCTCCCCTTGCTACCCTGGTTCCGCGGAACTCGCCCACCGCATCCCGTGATGCAGCAGATGACAGTTCCAGACAGAGTCAGGGAAGGCACGCAAGGAGAGAAAGAAAGAAAGAAAGAAAAAAAAGAAAGAAAGAAAGAAAGAAAGAAAGAAAGAAAGAAAGAAAGAAATATGAAGGCCAGAAAGCTTCGTAATCCCGCATACTGTTGGTCTGTTCGTCGCCATTCAGCCCCTCCCTCAGCCCACCAGCTCCCGAACAGCGTCCCGAAAATTCTAGGGCCTTGGACCGAGCACTTGGATCCAAGAAAGCGAAGCGAAAGCCAAGCTAAGCCCGCCAACGTGGCCAGCCGTCCCCCCTTTCCCTCGAAGCCACGACGGATCGATCACAAATCACATAATCCCAACCTGCTCTGGCCGTCAGCCCTCTCTCCATGTCCCATCGGTTCTTCCCGTCTTGTTCTGTAGTGTTTGTCTCCTGTGCTGTTTTTTTTTTTGTTTACATGATCCTGTCCCGTCCAGACAGATAGGCGAACCCTGTCGGTACCTAGTACTGTAATAGCCGCAGGCGCAGAGCTCAAGCCAGCCAGCAAGAACAAACACCACTCATAACAGCCACAGGTGCGAGCGATGGAGCCACAAACATCGGCATCCCGCTCCCACACATAGATACAAGTCGATCTGCGCGCCCGCTAGGCGTCAGCCCGGATCCAGTAGTGAAGAGCGGGAGATCATCCCACGAGGTCGAGGCCCCAGCTGTGTGGGCGCCCTTGTTCCCTCCCACTCTTTTCTGGTTCTCCCGCTCTCCCTTTGCCCCGAAATGCCCTTGTTCGGTCTGCGGGCCTGTTGTTACCTACCTACCTACCTTGGACACATTAGCAATGACAAGGGCAAAATGCACACGCACGTTCCTCTAGCGCGATGCAGCATTTGTTATGAGAATCCCTGGAGGAGAGAGTCAGTCAGAAGCCAGTTCTGTCAGGCAGGTGGGCCATTGTTATTTGTCCCTTTGTTCATTTTCTTTTCTCTCCCTCAGAGACGACCAGCTACCTAGGTATCTTACCGAGGTAGGTAGATACATAGATTAGTGGTCCACCTACGAGATTTGATTCTCGCACGCTCCGTCGGCTTGTAGCATCGGGGATCCTATGGTTTGCTGACGATTCGGCCGACTTGCCCTAGTGCCCCTGTGTTCTCTCTATCGTTCTAATGTAGGCGAGGCCGAGTGGAAGAGTTTCATGCTGGCCCTGCCATTCACGATGAGCGCACCCTTGTCTCCAGACGCGACCATCGTTAATCTTTGCCATCCCATACAACATATACCACCCCCACGCTGACCGAGAGCACCCTGGATTCGCAAGTGAAGAGATTTGTTTCTTGTCTAAAGTGATTCCTACAATACAACTTGCATACATGAACTGGCTGTCTGCACAGACCGTTCCCTTTGTTCCCGTTTCTGGTCTGTCCTGACTGGCCCTGCCTGCCTATCTGTCTGCCTGCTGCCTGCCTTCCTTTCAGGTCCATCCAAGCCGTCGAGACTGTCAAATAGTCCGAGGCGATACGCTAGCGGCCTTCAGTGCGAGTGCTGTGGTTCCGACTTTCTTTTTGTTTGCTCACACGGAACTCCAAAGCCATCTTCCCGTGTGCCGCGGGCCGTACAGAAGACCAGTGATCATCAGGTTCCCGAGCCTTCCCCGCCGTCTATAAGAAAAGCAATCGCAATCGACAAAGGAAATGTGAGAGCCGTAGACATCTGAGGCAGGCGTGCGCGTGCGCTTCGCCATCCCTCATCGCGTCTGTGGTGTCGTTTCCCCCTCTCCGAGAAACCCAAACAGTGGTGTGCCGCTGCTTCCCGGCCGTAGTATTAGAAGGATGCTAGTGTATTTACCGAGCCTTCCCAGCCTCGCCTGTCTAGCCAATGCGGCCAGAAGCAGTGGCACCGGGAAGATTTTTAAAAAAGGAATCAAAAGAGACGCAAAGGAAAGACGACGATAGCCGTGGGTATCAGTGTCCATGGGGAAAAAAGACGAGACGAAATGTTGGGTTATGAGCCGCAGTCTCTTATTGCCTACTGCTGCGGGTCTGGGTACTCCCCATACTCTGGCCCGTGGCCTTCATCTCCAGCAGCGTTTCTCTAGTACGACGCAGCAGGGGGCTCAGTGCTCTGGGGACGGCGAACCTGTCCGAAAAACATCTGGTTGCCAAGGGTGGGGCCCGCGGGATAATGCTCAGGCTCCGGGGTACATGTAGGCGCTGCCGTTGTTGCTGTGCGACGGCGAAGCCACGTGCGATGGCGACTGCCACCCCATGGTGCTCATGTGGGGGCTGCCACCGGCGCTTCCAGGGCCAGAGTGCTGCTCGACATTGGGCTCCAGTGTGGGAGGTGGCACCATGCCGTAGCCGGTAGGGTGCGAGGTGGGCCGCACACCGTTGCTGTAACCTGCAGAAGTAGTGGACGCAGGGCTACCGACGTGCATGTCGCGCTGAAGGTGTACCGGCAGTGATGTATTGCCCATGTAGCCAAATTCGGCGTTGCTGCGCTGCATCTGGTCGGCGCTAGGCGACATGGAGAGCGTACGCTGAGCCGGTGAGGGAGTGGTCATAGGAGAACCGCGGTTGGACATGGAGTCGCCGTCAGAGCGGGTTGATCCCGGTTTCACGCTGGCGCGGGCAGCAAGCGCGGCGGCAGTAGCGGCGGCAGCTTCTTCAACGGTACCAGTGTGGTGGTTCTGGTGGCGGGTCAAGGTCGTGCGGCGCGTGAAAGTCTTCTGACAATCAGCATAAGGGCACTTGTAAGGACGCTTGCCCGAGTGAATACGGCGGTGACGGGCGAGAGAGCTGCTGTCGCTGAAGGGCTGTGAAAGATCAGTTTAAAAAGCCCGAAAAAGGGAGGATACGGAGAAGCAGCGTACCTTTCCACAACGCTCGCACATGTGTGGCTTCTCGCCAGTGTGCACACGTTGATGGACCGTGAGGGCGGATCGCTGAATGAACTGCTTGCCGCAGTTGGGGTAGTCGCAGACGTGGGGGCGAATACCGCTGTGGATGCGTTCTAGACAGGTCAGTATGCAATACGTGGTGTCTGCGACGCATAGATCAGCTACATACCGTGACGAGCGAGATCGCTACGACGCGCGAACCGCTTGCCGCACGTGCCACATGGGTAAGCCTTGACCTGCTGGGCTGGCTGCGGCTCTACAGGCACACCGGGAGGCTTGTAATGATGCATCCCAGCGTTCATATCAGGGGGTCCGCCGGGCAGTATCATGGTGATGGGCACTCCGGCGTGATGTTGGTGTTGGTGCTGGTGCTGGTGCTGAGGGGGGGCATGTGCTTGCATCATTGGCGGGCCGTTCATAGGCACTGGAGAGGGATATGACCGGGGCACGCTGTCCATGTGCGATCGAGGCGCCGAGTAGCGGGAGTGCTCGGAGCCGTGGGGCGAGCCAGAACGGTCCATCGGCGGCTCGGGAAGATTTCTAGCGGTCAACTGGGGGAGCTGATGCATCTGACGTTCGGGCGTGGACCCAGTAGGGTGGTGATGAGAATGTTGCATGGCCATTGTGTTTCTTCTGTCCATAAGATTGCCAATCTCCATTACTTTGCGTGTGGTGATCGGGTTGGTTTATGGCGAGGCGTTCCTCTTGCACGAATCGCTTGCCTGGTGGGAATCAGGAGCCAAAGCGTACGAGTGACGGTGTGGCTTTAAGAATGGTTGCTGACGCGATACACTGTTAGCAGCTGAAGCACGACGAAGGGAGAGGGGTTGAATAAAGTGTTGAATCGAAGACGTGTGCCAGCACGTCAAGTGACCGATCATTTGCCGCGTCGACGGGCAACAAGATGAAAAAGAAAGGGATACTAGGGATATGAAGCCTTACATGAGTACTCGAAAGGATCAGATGATATGCTCGATCTGATTTGTCGAACGACGAGGCTCGTTTTGGCCGCGTAGAGGTATCACCCTGGAATCACCTGTACCGGAAATCGCAACGCTGTATTACAGGCTGAACAGAGAACGAGTCGGGATCGCAGTCGTCTCTGTGAAAACCGGAAGAACGTCGGTGGGATTATCGGGCTCGTGAGTTGGATGCGAAATTATTCGTATCGCAAGAGGCAGGTCCACTGTACGACTTTCGCGACAGGTTGGTCGAATCGGGACCGGATGCCAGCACTGCCCACTTCAGGTGTCGAGAACTCGTGAAAGGGCGGGCACTGATCGAGGTTCGATCTCGGGCCGGTGCGATACAGGCAAGTGAATGCTTGCGCGGGTTGATGATGCTCGATCTGGATGGGCTCGAGGCGGTACCAGGTCGGTGAAAGAAAAAAGGGGAGGGATGCAGGCAGGGAAGAGTTGGTCAAGGACCTTGTGGGATCCCCTGAGAGGAAGGTCAGCTGGTGAAAAGAGTAGAACCAAGTAGCTGAGAACAAGGAAACGAAGTGCTTGGAAATGAGGGGATGTGAAGGAAGATAGTCTGCGACCGAGACGTGAACAAGTCGATGCCTTGGTCGAGACCGAGTGGTGTGTTTGGACGAGGTCTGGACGCGTAGCGCACCG